AGGACCAATGTGTGAGCTAAAGGGATCAATTGGATACATAAATGGACACATCTACTACTGATCTTTGAGGATTCAGGCTCTCTCTCAAGTTAGGTTTAGGTGATAAAACATAATCATCACATCTGAGGTGCAACATGATCAACACATGCAAAGAAAAGCACATGAGGCTCAGCACTACGTCGTTCACTGTCTCCGAAGTGAGAGCTGTCATCACCTCCCATCATCACCCTGCTCTATCTCCACCACAGCAGCAGTATACCGCAGGTCAACAGTTTCAGCAATGCAGATGTCTCAGTGTTCTCCATATCATGACAATGATGTGCCTCAAAATAAACTACGTCATTTGAACAGACCGGGGGAGATCATGAGGTGGGGACAAACTGGGAGTTTACATAGTTAGACATGATGAGATTGAGGTGGTCTGTGTAGGATTCAACAGGAAACTATTTTATGTATTATATTTATGATTATAGAGTAAGAGCTAACTTGATTAAAATGTATACAGATGATATAAGCTTATTGCAGATAGATGCCAAATTGCCAAATTGTCAACCAGAAGTCAATGACAGCACTTTGTGTCATTAAAGAGAACAAATGAACCTCAACTTTGGGAAAATTGGTCTGTCAAAATGTTATTTAGGTACAGTACTTGAGTAAATGTACTTTAACTTTCCACCACTGTGCAGGGTGAATAGAACAACAACAACAGTGTGGTGATGGGCGAGTCTTTCAGCCCTTGGTTTGTCAGTATGCTATCCAGCTAACATTATTTCTTCGTGGTCCAGAAATAGTTTATTGTGGTGAGTCTTAGTGCCACTCTTGCATAACTGCAGAATTACAGTGTGCTGCTCTGCGTGTCCCATGGAGGCTGTTGAGGGATTCTCGTTTAGCAGAACGAAGTGTACCCTCTTCTCCAGTGAGTGTTAACATCTCCCAGCACACATACAACTCAATATACTGCCATCATCGGCTTGAAAACCCTGGATAGATTTTCAGTTGTAGGCCGATAGAGTGACGAGTTGATGTATTTGAACGGTGCATGCTAGCTCCGTGTGTCAAAATCACGATTTTATTGAAAGGTGTAGGATATTTTCAGTCCAAATGTACGACAGTAGAATAGCATCACTGGAGTAATAACACATCCCACATGCAGTGTCAGATGTGAGGAAACTCACCATGGTTGAAGATTGTGGACCGAAACCGGTTGTTGGACGGATTTTCCATCTTTAAAAGTTTCAGACCTTCGTCTTCTTTTTTCCTCTTTTCCCTTCTTTTTCTTCTTCGGTATTTCCTTAGTTTTCTCTCTCAATCCCAACACAACTGCGGTGAAATGACAGCCCGTGCGTTGTGTTGGACCGTCCCACTTGAGTGTGTGTTAGTCTGTGTGTTTGGTAGCAGCACACACTCAAAACACACTAATGCACTGTGTCGTTCAACGAGGCAGCCAGACAGGTGACGTCACGAGCCGTTGCAGCAGTGTCGGAATGAAAACAATCGCACGTGGACGCGATGGGAGAAGCGTCACATGCACCTGCAAGAAAAAAATGAAAATATCGAACCATTCATATCTTTGCAAAGATTAACAATGGCGGTTGTGGACCAGTCATTGTTAGCTACAATCCCTCAGTGATGGAAAGAACCATTCAGATATTTTACTTATGTAAAAGAAGCTAATACTAATCCGCAGTATGCAAGGACTCCATTAGCCTACAGGTCAGAATCTAGTAAAATAACAACAGAAATAGCATAATACTAAACCTAAGGTGAGCCCTTTTTTAAAAACATTACATTTTATAATAATCATGCTGAATTCATGTTTTAATCACATACATGGTGCAACTACTTTACACAGCCTTTACATAGCTCTGATAACTGTTTTAAATACTGACATTTTATGACCTTTTACTTTTAATACTTTAAGCTATTTCTGCTAGTTCTTTTACTTAAAATAAAACGTATTTTGAGTGCAATACTTTTACTGCGGAATAAAGTATGTACATAATGCCCACCAGAGATTAGCAGCTGTATTTATTTTTGTATTATACTATGTTGTACTTATATTATATTTGTATCCTTTAATCTACCATACAAATAAAAAAGCAGATAAATAGTGACATCTAGTGGTCTATTTGTTACTATATTTCCAAATAATTCATTATTTTGGATAAATAAACAGTGTATTTTCTCCCACTTTATTGTAGCACATAAATGTATTGACGATAATGCAGTGATATTCTGAGTGGACTGATTTTAAACACATTATCGGAGCTGTCCCACTTTGTTCTCTGTGTTTGCTTCAGTAGTACAAATGTCAGGAAGGCTAATGATAGAGTGAACATGAAGAGAATAACCGTGTCTGAGAAACATCGTCATTAATCAACACGTTGAGTCTTTGGCTTGGTTTAGAAGCAACAGTTTTATTTTTAGCTGTGACAAAAGAAAGAAAAAAAACAGTCGCCTCATCAGAGTCTAAATGTTCAGGTTCAGGATTAAAGTGCAGAATTGTTTTCACAGCTTGTGTGTAAAAAAAAATTAAATAAGACAAAAAAAGAAATATAATATCAAAACTAACAATGGAGATCTGGAAATTATAAATATGATACGCCACAAGATGAAATTTCATACAACATATTATCAGCAATGATAATCAATCCACTTGAATCAGGCTTGCACTTAATGATACATATAAAAGGAAATCAGTTCACGTTTTCGAGTAGTTGGCAAGGCTAGCTTACAACAAAGGCACAGCAATGTTCAGAGGTAACGATCCTTTGCAAAGAAGTGCTGCGGCGACCTTCTCATTGATCCTAACACGTCCTCACAGACACACCTGACATGCTCGACGTGGCCAGACAGAAACATGGAGAAGCCACTCGTGTGCAGAAACATGCCCACGGTTTTGCAGAAGCACGTTTTATGTCATCAGCCTACACATTGAAATAGGGTACATGCTATTTAAGTCTCACTGTTGCTGTTGAATTCTGCTTTTCTAGTAAGCTGCTGAATTAACAGAGTTGTGAAGAAAGCTTGAGAAAAGTACGGCCCTGAGCCAAAGGAGTGTGATGAGGAGGTGAGAGGTGAGATAGGCCAGCGTTAAGTGCTCTACTATCAGAAAGACCAGCAGTGGTTGCAGCCTCTGTGGGCGTCACATACGAAACCAAGCAGTCAGAAATAACATCATTCACAAAGGACCAGTCTGTAGGCAGCAGGCAGACCTGGGATATCCTCTTGGTAGCAAAGACTTTTAAAAAGGCTTGAAAATGTAAATATAGTTATAGATATATGACTTTAGATCACAGAGGGGTCCAGCAGGCTCCAAAGCCGTATTTAAAAGTCGATCCATGCACAAATGCATCTAAATAATTTGAAACAGTTTGCTCTCAAGAGGATGAATTTCCCAGATACCCTTTTTACAGGTGAAAGGCTCCATCAGTGTCTTGCATTCATATATCAACCTGAACCGAGATAATGCATTTCCTTATCACAAGTAGCCCAAGAGAGGAAATTAACAAACATGGCTTCATCCAGCCATTTGGTAATATAGTGCAAATTAAAGTACTCAAATCTATACAAAAAGATATCAGTGGTTATATATAAAAACAGATGCTGTGTTTTTCCCCCCATTTCAATTTAAGCTTGAATTTCTCTGTTCACTTTTCTTTTATCTTTCATTCTTTGTTTTCGTATTTAAAATGACAGCATTTAGAGAAAAAAAGAGCTTGGTTGAAAAGCTGAACAGACCGAGCTAGTACATCATGCAGCTTGTGAAAACAACAGCAGGAAATAAAAAAGTTCTGATTAGAAAAAGAAAACTTATGTCAGAAGGTGCCAGAGAGAAATCTAACAGTGGAAGAGATTATTTCTGAGAAGTGAGCATATTTATGCAATGCACGCAGACAAATGCAAGGACAGACACATATATAGTGATATTTACAGTTAGCATTTACATGTAAACAACAGTGATTGATCCACAGGAGGAGAGACAAACATGTGGACAGACAGCTGACACGATGAGGCAGTACCTGGTGATATTATCCCCATACCTGAACTAATGTACAGCACATGATGAGACAAGAGTGAATAATTAACAACAGATTGATTGCCTTTAAACATTTTCAAAGTACATATAATTGTTTATCATAATGTGCAGATTTAGTTAAGCAAGTTTGATGTGATTAGATAATCCAGTGTTACGGTTACATTTACTCCAGTGCATTAAAAAGATGACCGATCAAATGTTAAGAAAGACTTCTTGATGGAGGGAAACGACAGAATGTAACATTTACTGAGCTTGAACTATGGGTAGGGGATATTTTGTGATAAGATTCTTATTTCAAAGGCTAAAAGCATCTTACCTGCCACAGTGGTGACATTGTAGATAAAACAAACAGAACATCTTTCAGCTGTGCCCTTATGACTGCAGTTAACCTTTAACCCTCCCTAATTTTCAACTGGTCGGCCAATAAAAATATGGCGATGTAGCATACGTATATAAAATATGTCTTTACATTTACAATATTTAAAACATTTACAATGTCGGCAGCTATGTACACTTTTATGTGTTTGAATGTATAAGATGCCATGTCAATGTGGATGAGATACAGCTCTTAAATGTACCTAATGTATGCAATGTACCTCAATGTGAAATCAGTGCTACACAATAAATGATGGAGGGGCCGCAGACACATGAAGGTCTCCTTTTGTCTGACCAAATGAGGTCAGAGGGAAACGATGAAGTATGACCTGACACTAGGGCTGCTGAATTAATCGTATTTTAATCGCAATTACGATTATGGCTTGCAACGATTACGAAAACAACGTAATCGAAATAAAACGATTATTTTTTTATTATTATTATTAAAAAAAATGTATTATATTTTTTTTATTGGTTTTTCAGTTGAGTTATACTTAAAGTTCAGGGTAATCAACTGTTAAAAACATACTGTTCAAATGTTCTTTCTCCAATAAATTGATGTTTTCAAAGTAAATGGATAATCGTTTTTAATAATCGTGATATCAATTATTGACCCAGATAATCGAGATTATGATTTTTGCCATAATCGAGCAGCCCTACCTGACACCATTATTTACACCTATGCACTCTTCAGTGAAAAGCCTGAAAGGTTTTGTTTGACTTTTACAAGTTTGACAGCAATTTGACTTTTGTGTCTTAAGCGACATGCGGGAGGCATTTGCGTTTTTCAGAAGCTCAGTTTTAAAAGCAAAATCAAAGCAAAGTCACAGAAACCAGGAAACACATACCACACAATGTAGAGGAAGTTTGCCTTTTTCTACAGTAATATACACACTACAATAAGTAATCGTGTATGGAATGACACCTAATGATTAGATTAACTGATTCATGACTTGAGAGTTGGGTCTGATTGCATATGACATGTTCCACTTTAGCGTCAGAATCAGCAAAATCCAGCTATCGTAGTAAATGTCTCTTGATTTGACTTTGAATGTGTGTGTGTGCGTCTTGCACAGGTGGCTTTTCAGATCCACCTTTTCCCCGAGTCTTCTCGTCCAGCCTGAGCCAGCCTGCGCCCGCAGCGTTAAACAGGGAGGAGTTTTTACAGCTCCAGCCACTGCTCCACCTGAGGCAGGCATTCGCTGCCTGTGTGGAGGTTCATCTAATTTCCCACTCCTCCAGTTGTGTAAAGGACTACTCCGGCTGCTCGGGGTGGGTGTGCAGGCCGTTTTCAGGGCGGGGAATGCTGTGGTTCTCCCAGAAGGCCTTGTGCATCTGGTCCACTTTAGACACCAGCGGTAGACCAATGTCCAAGTGCATCTTCAGGTTCTCCAGCCACTCCTCCAGTTTAGAGAAAGCAGGCCTAAAGATCAAGAAAGCAGATCTCAGTTTAAAACATTTGATTAATTCAGAATTCTAGATATTCATCCTAATAGATCCAGGGTGAGTTGCTAAATATCATAGTTGTTTCTCACAAAACAATGGAGGGCATAATGCTGCTCAGACCATTACAAAAAATATAGATCAACATCTCTTATTAACCCCGTCTTCCATGATGATCAACAGAATCACTGTTTATGTTAGAAAATACTTTTGTTAAAAGCTAAAAATGTGTGAAACTTTGTACAATTAAAGCTGAAACTTGTAATTGGTTACATTGCACCTGAGTTTAAAATGTGTGAAAGGTGCCACTAAATATTCTGTTAGGCAGAGCTACATCACAAACATGAACAACTCAGCAAATGATGCTGAAATTTATTTTGGTAAACTGGCCTTTTGTAAAATGTCAATGTAAATCTATTGAAGATGTCTGACCTTTTGTCTGCATCGAGGTCACAGCACACAGCAGCTATGGGGAAGAAGGCGGGGGGACAATCAGGGGGACAGAAGTGCTCCAGGAAGCCAGACACGTTCAGGCCGAAGTCCATCGCCCTGGGGAGGTAGTCTGGGTCTGCGTTCACCCTGCCAATTACCTGGAGAGCCCGAGAAAAACAACAGGAGAGAAAAAGAGTAAGATAGGTTACACCTGGGTCCTCCTGTGTTGATCTGCTGAACACCAGTAAACCCTGCAAACAGAAGCTGATCGTTGCCAGGAGACCACAACTACCGGCCTCTCAGAAGCCACACGAAGAAGACTTTGATTTTCTGCTCTCTCTAATCCCTGTAGTATCGCCGGGTTAATGGTGCCCATCTGGGGAAGTCATACTCTGGGGATGGTGTGTGGCCAGGACAAAGGCTTACCACACTTTGGGACTGGATTTTTATTTGGAGAGAAAATATTTGGAATTCTGGAAAAGCTAGACATTTCTATCATAAAATAGATGACAAAAAAAAAAGGCTGCAGGTCTCCCTTGAAAAAGAGATCATTGATCTCAATGGGATTTTACCTGGATAAGTAAAGGTTTTGAATTGAATTGAATTGAATAAAATGAAATGGATGTTTTTAAATAATTGGATCACAGATCACTAAATGTTCCATATTTTGCAGGAAAATCTAGGAAATATTATGTGAAGTAAGTTGAATCTTGACAAAGAAGTGAAAGAGAGTGAAGAGCAGTTGTGCACAAATTAAAATTACGGTAGTCTTGTGGCTGAACGAGTGATGGGAAATCAAATAAAACATTTTGTATAGGTGGTAACCTCTGGCCAAATGAAATGAGATGTGTTGAGACTGTTTACATTATTTCATTTTTAAATGACAAGGAAACCAACTTGTAAGCAGAATGTGATGCCTTGGGAAAAAGCTATTACGGAATTTAAGTTCTGCTAATCAAACATTACCTCTTGTAAAACACCAAAAACCTGGTTTGGCTTTTATTACCCCAACATTAAAAAGTCACTCACCTCGCAGAGCATGATACCAAAGGAGAAGATGTCTACTCTCTCATCGTAGCTCTTCCCTGGAAAGAGAAAATAACCAAATTAGGCTGTTTGAAGGAATGCCACATTACACAGCAAATGTAGAACTGCATTGATTGTAGTTCTCTTCCTCTGAGAAGGTAATTTTGCCATTTAAAAAGAGGATTTAGAGATCATACCATGGATCATCTCAGGAGCCATCCAGTAGGGGTTTCCCACCACCGTGTATCTCTTCCTGCGGTCGGGCCTCTTCAGGCCGGGCAGATTTCCCTGCGAGAATTTCTCCTCAAGCTTGTCGACCACCATGAGGCGAGACAGCCCAAAGTCTGCCACAACCACTGTGTTGTCCTGCACCAAGAAAATTAAACATGTCATTAAATGTTCTAGTTTTTCTCTAAGCATACAGTACATACTGCCTAAGAGAGGGATGTAATAGATATATGCTTCAACGTAGCAGTGTGCAACTAGTTTCAAGCTCGTTCAACAGCTTAAAATTCAATTCTAAGCTTCTAATTGAACTTTTTGTGGATTTTCCACACACTTCAGGAACGATTCAAAGCTTGTGACACATACGTACTGTCTGTGTTTGAGTAGGGTAAGCTGGAAGTTTCCGCTACCAAGTTACTAGGGAGGAAGGCTTTGTCTGTTAAAGCTACTGCTTACAAAACTCTTGTTTGTTTTTAAAGTGACATGTGCACTGTGTTAAATCCCCAAAGAAAACATTATGCACATACGTAGGTATGTCCACACACACATGTACACACATGGACACACACACACTGCCTTACCTCTCGTACAAGACAGTTGTGTGAGTTCAGGTCCCGATGGATTATGTTCATGGAATGCAGATATGTCTGAATGACAGATAGATGGACAGATAGGAGAGGACAGAAAGTCAGGAAGAATAAAAAAAAGAGAGGCTTTTAGTGGTAATCTAAAACCCATGCCAAGAGGAACAATCCTGCCTTGTTTCCTCTCAAGTAGCTGATGTTGAAAAAACAATAATCCAGTCATGCATGACATTCTACATTGTCCCATATCAGGGAAAAACAATTGTCTAATCCTGCAGGAATTCTTGCTATAATTTCCATAGAGGGGATGGAAACAAATGTGCACATTGTTAACGGAAGTGTTGCAGCTCACTAACACGACCACTAGAGGGAGGCAGCAGTGCTAAAAACAAGAAGCAATGCCGCTCTATCTACTGCTGCATATCAAGGAATATTATGGTCTGCAGTGGATTCACAGAAGTACAGTAGCTAATAAAACCAAAGGCACTTATGGGTCCTTGAACTCACCATTCCAGCAGCTATGTCCTTGGCAAAACTGACCCGCTGGTTCCAGGGATAGTTGCTGTCCTGTGAGCAAATAATAACAATTCAATGTTATTTCCCTCAGCGGCATCTGCTGATTAATCATAAAATAAAACCATCTAACAATACAATCATCTACAAAATGCAAAGACTCTACCTGAGGCAATACAACAACATATTTTCTTTACTATTACTAAAACGTATAATGAATGCATTTTTAATACTGAACAGGAAGTAGACACATTAGTATGTTTACACGCACACACTACCCTCTCACCATTTTCTTGATGAGTTGCCTCAGGGTGCCTCCCTTTATGTACTCTGCGATGAAGTTCAGTCTCTTGTCCTTGTAGAGGACTCCGATGAACTTGAGCACATTTGGATGATCCAGGCAACGCATGACCTTCACCTGATGAAACAACGTCACACAGTTTTACTCACTGAATGCTGCTTGAGGACATTGACAATCTGAGCTGACTATTAACTTTAGTACTTGATTTCTTGCCATTGGAAAGAAAGGCTGATTCCACTCTCATAGACAAATAAATATGAAGCTACAGCCAGCAGCTGGTTAGCTTATCTTGACTGGAAACAGGGAAACAGGGAAACAGGGAAACAGGGAAACAGGGAAACAGGGAAACAGGGAAACAGGGAAACAGGGAAACAGCCTCCCTGTTTCTGTCTGAAGGGTTTTGTTCTGGACTATTGCAAGCAACTTTGTTTTTAGGAGGGTGACGAGACGTCTGGAAAAATCTGAGACAGTCTTGGATAATGAGCCGTGGTCCTCTATCCTGTCCTGTTTGTCTGCCAAATTTGACTCAACCTAATTTTTGATTAGTCATAGCGTAATAAAACATTAAATACTAATGAATGAACATTACATCTGTGTTAAACACAGAACTAGATTCTATGTGAATAATGGCTTTTGTTTAGTTTATTTGCCAAATACACTAAGTCACACATAGATAAAAAAAAAACTGGGCATGGTGGTGACGTTAACTGGATGTTGTTGAATGAAACATTACCTAGGGAAATTTCAACAATCCATGGCTGACATGGAGCTAGACGTATTCTTTATCGTAGAGACACGATCTTGCTCCTATACTTTTCATCTTGATAAGAAATCAAATTAGTTTATTTCACAAAACTATTCTTTTACCTTAAGTATGAACATTTGAGAGTCCAAAAAAGATTTAAAATGTTTTCCCAATTGAATGAGATGTACCAAAAAGCTGGATAGCCAATCGGCCGATAAGTGTAAACTTAGCCAACAGTCATCTTCACAAACTGACATATGAATATCAATATTCATTGATTTCGTTTTTTGATGACATCACAAATCCCACAGCGCATGCTCGCACCTCTTACAGTTTTAACTCTGTTTATTTGAAATGCAACAGAGAAACATCCTGTATAATTGAGAACTACTAAATAAACTCAGAGTGTAAGTGTTCGCAGCATTACTGCAGTATGTCTGCAGTATAACACTGCATCAAACATTTCCCTCCCTGACGGTTGGGGTGAGGAGGAAGAGGAGGCAGGCCACTATTACACACCGATAAACCTGAAGTATTACCCCTTAAAGTTGCATGATGTCTTTGTCTGAAATGCCTGCTTGCATTCCTTACTCAGACAAGATCACAAGAGACTCAGTCATTTGAGACTCGGGCTCAGCTTTCATTGTGGTCGGGTTTCTTTTATAGCCGTTACACCAATTACATAGCAAGGACTCGGTGTTATCGTAGCCTAAAAATAAATTCATTAGTCCACACATACGGGAACAATATTCATGAACTTCAAACCCCCCAATTAAAAGGATTTTAATTGGATGAATGAGTCTACTATACTGAACATTAAACAGGAACAGAAGTTATTCAGATCACGGGGAGAACATAATTAAACAAGTCCCACAGAAGTCTTAACTTCTGTGTCTGAGTCACTCTCTGTTATCTTTTCAGATTAATGGAAGGACCGGAGAAAGATGACGCTCTGTGTGGGAGGCATAATGAGTTTTGCTCATCTATCCTTTTTGGGGGAAAGAACTGTTTTAACACTTTCCTTGATATCCTTTTTCAGAGGTGGTTTAATTTATTTGGTCCATAACGACTCTTCCTTTATTCTTCTGTGTGATACATTCACACAGAAGTGCTGCTTACTTTAGCTATACTGACAATCATTACAAAAAAACGTTTTCGTCTTTCTTCCTCAGCACAGATTTTCGCAGCTGGACCAGGAATTAAAAACCTTCAGCAAACTTATTTTACTATCATTTTTAAGTACTGACTGCCCTCATCTTTTGGAATAAAACTGTTTGTATTCAAGAAAATATTTTTTATTTTTTAATGCTCTGAGGTCAACACCTATTGATCTCAGATGTCTGTTTATGACAGATAGTTGATTCAACCTCTGAAAAGATAACTCGAGTAAATCTCACACTCCCTAATGACGTAACATCTGGGATTGCCTGTCTCCACTCACCTCTTTCAGGAATGTTCTCTGTGTCTCGTCATCAAAGCGAATCAACTCCTTCATCACCATCACCTCCCCGGTCTCCTTGTGGGTCACCTATAACATACACAATGATGCAAATCAATTAATCTGAGCTGGCAGTCTGAGGGGAGACTGTCAGCATGGGAAACACATTTTTTTCCACTCTGTGTAATAAAGACAAACATTTTAACCTCCTGCCTCTCCACACTTCTCTTACTTATCTCAATGCTGCCACCTTCTGGATAATGTTTGTATGACTACCGTTGTTCTCTAAACACAACATTCATGTAAATGTATTTTACATACAGCCATATGTGTCTCTGCCACTCAAACCCACCTTGATGGCCTGTCCAAAGCAGCCCTTCCCCAGCACCTCTCCATGGATGAGGTCAGATGGGCGGAAGATGCGGTGCGTCTGATTGGACACGACGCGCAGCGACTCTGATCGATTAATGTCCTTCCTCTGGGAGATGGGGGATGCTGCGTTGCTGGAGCCGGGTGACTTATCAATGCTGCAGCTCCGTCTGGAGGGAGGGGACAGGAGGAGAAGGAAGGGAATAGAGAAGAGTATTTGATTAGTGATTGCTGCTACTTTTATTCTTATTTAGTTTAGGGTGTCAGGGTATTTATTGACAGAACAATGCCTGGACCATACAGTAATAGGCTCACTGTATGAGCTTAAGGAGACTACCATTTATACTTGACAAAGCAATACACTAACTTTACCCAAAATATAAAAGAGCAATACAACATGATACATCAGAAGAAAAAAATCTCAGCGTTGGTTACTTAAAATGTGCAGATATAGATTTTACATTTCTGCTTTGCTTTTGTGTTCCTCAATCTTTAACACAGTATATATGGTATGCAACTACACGTAAGCAGTACAGTCTTTTTGTGGCCATTCAATATTTACTCTTCACATTAAATGGTAGAAAGTAGAGCAAAACTGCAATTAGCATCATTAAAATTGGTTTCTTACGTGATGATGCGGGATCTCAGGCTGTCGGGGAAGGGGGGCTGTGTGATGGGCAGGTTGGGGCTAGGGCCCTCTGACAGAGGGGTGGTCAGGGGGCCGTTCACTCGATCCTCAGCCTCCGAGGAGTCTCCCTCCGGTCCTGGACTGTGAGGGTCGTGCTCGATGGTGAGCTGCAGCCGCCGGCTGGTCTCCTGGATCAGCAGGTCGATCTGGAGAGGACGAGTTCAGGTTAGAGCAGCAGAGATTGCTTTGAAGCTAGAGAGATGCTCTCATGGAAGAAGTCTGGTGAAATGCTTTATATAGTGCTACAATGAGATGGAGATTCTCATTTGCACATTTACAGTGAGGTAAAATCTCACCTCATCCAGGGGGACATTTTGAATGGGTGTCCCGTTGATTTCCAGGATCTTATCTCCAACGTGAATGGAGTTTTTCACATCTGGACTGATGCACTCTGTGTCCACCCTAGATACAGAAGAACAAAATCATAAATCAAGCACCTTCCTGCACACAGACCTGAGATCTGACAAGTCTCAGCTAATTTAAATAACAGTGACTCATACTTTCTGCTCATTTCCTTTCCCCTTCCCCTCTATTGTATAATTTAAATGAACCTCATCTACCACACTGTCTAGCTTTTTTCACCCTTTGTCCTCGAACCTACTGACCTCTCCTTTCGTTAGTTTCTCTTCCCACACAATGACTATCCACAATATTTGCAGACACACAGACATGGATGGGTAGACTCACTGTGAGACTCTGATGGTGGGTCCATGTTCAGGACTGTAGCCACCGGTGGGGCTGAGCGGCTGGTCGATGGACACGGAGAAACCTCGCCCTCTGCGTCCGTTGTTGCCCTCGGCAGAGGCTGGGATGGACAGGAGTGTGACCGTGTGAGGGATCCGCGAGCATGACGAGTCCGGCAGCGACACCGGTGTCACGATGGTCTGGTAGTAACAGTGACCGCTGGAGCAAGAGGGGGATTGAGGAAAAGTGAGGGTGTTAGAAAATATTGAGTATTTTGATACATTTTTCCTGACACAGACTCGAAAACACGACATGGATTTTTAATTACCAGTTTAAATACACAGATTTGTGGCAGAAAGTGGATCACAATACAATACAATACAATCAATACACAATGAGTACAGTTATGATGGTGGATATTGCTGTGGTTTATGAGAAATACAAATAAAGATTCCAAATCAAAAATAAAGATATCGCAATATTGAGTAGTAACTCCTGTATGAGCCGATTCTTGCCAATACTCAGGCCTAACGGGAAGTAATGAGAAAGAGGCAGCTCGAAACAGAAAATGGGATTATTGAGTGAGGTCTCTCTCTCTTAAATGTGGGGTAGGTAATTTTGGAGAAACCAGCTCGAGCGCGCTAGAATTTGAAAATACACAGCCGGAAACAATCTGCCATTTCCTTACAGAGCCCCTCGTCCAACACACACGAACGCGCACATGACCAATGAGGGCA